TTTTCCTTGAGTGGATCAGGGAGGCTTTCTGTGTTACTACTAGGAAATATCTAGATGATAAATGTTTACCACTCAAGGCTGTTCTCATCACAAACAGTGCACCTGTTCATCCACAAGGTTTGAAATAATTGGCTGAAGAATAGGCATGTCTCACAATCGAATTCCTCCCACCTAATATAACTCCCCTACTGCAGTCTATGAGCATGTTATAGCTAACTTTAAGAGGCTGTACACCAACAAACTGTTCCTGAAGTGCTTCCAGATGGTCTCAGATACATATTTAACCCTTAAAGAGTTATGCAAAGAACATTGCATCATCCTTTCCTGTGTGGGGTTATAGTAACTGAGAAATCCTGGCCAAATGTCTCTTTAAGTTTACTGATATGTAGGGATCTGTTGGTCTCACTGTGATGGGTTCTACCAGGGCAGAAGTGGCAGCAGGAATGAGAAAAGATAGACAAAAAGACAAAAGCTGGGTGAGGTGGTTGCTGCTCTGCCTGATGGGCAGGATTAACACAATGGTACAACAAAACCTATGTTTATTTATACTTTTGCAAAGTTAATAACACATGACACAAGGTTGCCTAGTGACTAATAGCTGACCTTAATCGGACAGGATGTTTATCTCAGGACTGAGGTAGCTTGTTTGCTTTAGGCACTGAGTCCTAGTCCCACCTACACACATTGATCAATTTCATAGCTTCTGTCTGATAGAAAATGTGGCTTAAAATTAGAAGAGAGACTTTTGAGGCTATATAGAGGAGCCTGAGCCTTCAGTTGACCCTGTCGTTGATGACATTTGTCACTCTAGCATAGTGCATAGGCTTGGAGGTAGACAATGGTGATGTTGAGGAACTGGTGGAGCAACACTCAGAGGAATTATCTACAGAGGAATTCCAGTAACAAAGTCTGGCTTAGCTCAGAGAATGGCAGCTGAGGAGTTTTCTGAAGGGGCGGGGGAGTATCATTAGTCAGTGCAGCAAAGTTCTTCTGAAACAAAGGAAATCCTGAAAAAAATTGACAGATATATACCAACATTTGTAGAGAAGATATACTCTGACAGAGAAAAAGACAGTCACTGCATTCACTTGCTTAATGACAATGTCATGTCATACTGCAGACTAGTGTCAAAGAAAAGACATAAACAGATAACTTAGACCAGTTTTTAATTCTGTAAAGGCTGAGATCTAGGAAGCAAGATGTAGGTCTTAGCAGGTTCCAGATTCTTTCAAGGAGAGGACACCATGGAGCCAGATTTCTGATGTTCATATGGAAGGCATCTCTCCTTCCAAATAGTAACCACTGTCTGCTTCATCTTCTCTTCTAGCAAACTAAATATGCTAACTTGAATGGTGAGTACAGTATGAAATGACTGTTCCTGGTAGGCTAGGCATAATTTATGACTTTTTGGTGAATACACTAAGGATTTTTAGTGTTTCTGGTATTATTCACTAATAATGCACATTATTCATCTTTTTTATTATGAAAAGTTTAGTTAA